GGGGGGGGGGGTGTCTTGTGCTCCCACAGTAAAGGGTAAAGTGAAAGAGACTTGGGGCCTGTGCAGGCCAGGCGCACAGGCCCCAACAAACACTGAGATACTGGGAAGCCCCTAGGGCAGGGAGGCCAGGGTGGGAACTGTCAGGACAAAGTCACAATGTCTGGAACTCACTGAAAACATTCCAGGCAGAACAAAAGTGGGGGCCATGCAGGCCTTGGAGCCACCGCAGCACTGCAGCCACACCATACCCCTCAGTTCCTGCGCCCATAAGACCACTACTCGGCCAAGCCCCCCACCCCCGCAGGGCAGTGGTTAGAATAATGCAGGCTTGGCCTGCTCCCACCTCCCACTCTGCTTGGTCAGGGCCACTGGCCATGGGTAAGGGCACCAAGAGCCACACCAGGCCCGTGGCTCCCACCACATCCCCAGGCGTGTTGGTGGGCGGTCACCTACCTGGCAACTGAGTAGCCTGATCTTCTTCCTCCCTCCTCTCTGCTCCTCCACAGACCTCTTCTCACCGGGGAGTGATGTGCTAGAGCGACACTGTGCCTGAGGGGACACAGCTGTCATCCTGACCCTCACCCTCAGGGTCCCCAAAGCCCCATGTGACACTGCCTGGGCCCATAGTGAGGGGAGAAGCCCCTCCTCGAGTCCTGCCATCATCTCTCTCGTGGTTGGCTGGGAGCAAAGTTTAAGAGGAGGATTGGACTCGCAGTCTTGCAGTTAACTGATGGGCTGATGCGAAGGGAACAGAGGGGATGCCACCCAGATCAGACCGGAAGTTACGGCTTGTGGGCAAAAGCTGCAGGGCAGGAGCTGGGTCCGGGACACAATCAACTCCCAGAATGAGTGCATCAGGAGCCAGATCCCAAGGGGACCGTATTGAGAACCCACAGGTGTGTCAGGAACATCAGCTGAGGGGTTAGGTGTGAGCCTAACAAGGGGATTTATGGGGTGAGTGTGGAGGTGCCTGAGAACAGACAAGCAGTGCCTGGCGGGGGGGGGTCTGTGTCCATCTCTGGGGCCCCTGTACCCATACCTTCTCCTCCCCGGGCAGGGCCTGGTCCTCAGGCTCTCTGGCCAGCTGCTCACTGTGCTCCAGGGCAGCCAGCAGCCCCATGGGCCTTTGCTGGGTGTGAACAGGCTCCTGCTCATACTCCACACACAGGCTGCCCTCAATGTCCCCACTGTCTTCGGAGGCTGGCAGTCCTGTGGGAGCACAAATGTGGGGCCCGCTGTGGGGAGAGGGCTGGTGGCAAGACAGGCCCCCCAGTAGCAGTCAGACCTGGCCAAGCGCTCTGGTCTTCAGGCCCTGCCTGCCACCAGCCTTGTGGAAGTAGCCGCACCTGCCCATGGCCCCCAGCCACACGTACCTGTGGGTCTCTGCCTCAGGCTGGGGACGTGCACATCCAGATTCCTGGCTTTCTTGGTGGAGAGGGGCCCGAGCGACATGTCCACCTTGACAGCACCTTCTTCCTGGGCCAGGCTTGGGGCAGCAGCCAGGGGCACTGGCATCTGGACAGTCACAGGTGGTTGGGGTTGGGGGTCCCACCCAGCTCCTCCGAGGGCATAGCCGGCTGGGCGTTCAGGACTCACTGTTTTCTGAGCAACCCGGAAAAATTGGGCCACATCTCGAATGATATGGCCGAAGTGGTCATACACTTTGACGTGGGGGCGTACCCAAGATGGCAGCTGGGCTCTGGCATCCGCACAGGTGAACCTGGCAGGGAGGGCCTGTCAGCCTGGAGTCTGGCCTGCCCCCAGTCCACCTCCCAGGCAGGGGCCCCATGCAGGGGAAAGGGCCACACCTGTGGTCACAGAGGAAGACGACCCCATAGTCGTGGCGATGCCGAATGACCCTCCCAATGGCCTGGTTCACAGCCCTGGATGCCTGTTGCCGGTACCAGTCTTGCCCAGAGAGGAACTGGGGGGAGGATGGCTGGTCACGAAATATCCGGGGCTGCCCAGTCCCCGTCCGCCATGTGACACCTCACCTGGCCTGAGGTTCCACTCCTGCCCTTCATCTCATCTAGAAACTGCATCTTGAGGATGACCCGGGGGTCCTTGCGTGGGGGGTAAGGGAGGCCCGTAATGACCACCCCTCGGCCATTCACATCTGCGAAGTCCAGCCCCTCACTGGCCTGGGGATAGCACAGTCTTTACCTACATGCCCCACACAAGCCTGCCAACCTTCCCCAGGGTCTGTCCAGACCCTCCCAGCCACATGCTCTCAGATATGGACAGTCAGGGGACAGACCTTCAGCCCTGGGCCAGGCCCTAGCTAAGGCCCACACTTCCAGAACCCCGTGACCACTTGTCATATTCTTGGAACTTCTCTGTCCTTCCCACCAGTGTCCACCCCAACTGGCCCAACCAGGGTCAGGGGGCTGCCCTCCTAACTTGTGTTTGCTGGAAGTGGAGCCCAATGGGAGGACAGCCCCCAGGCCCAAGTCATGAGCTCCTGTGGGTAGGAGAAGACCCTTGGAACTCACCTTTCCCCGGCACACAGCCAGGAAGGCAGCCCCTCGGGACCCCGGGGAGGCAATGCTCGAGTAGTAAGCACCCATCACCTGGAAGGAGAGGCAGGTCACTTGGAGCCAGGACCCTGGCCCCTTCCACCTCCATGAGTGAGACCCCATGTGTCATCCTCTGAAATGGACTATTCCAGCCTTCACGTTCTAGAAGCTTCCTCATGGCCTGGGTTCCAAGGCTAACTTGTACCTAGCACCCAGGACCTGCTCAGTGTTTCTCAGAAAACAAAGGAGTCCCGGGGCTGGGGGGCGGGGAGCCTTCCTTCCTGAGTGTTTGCTGCCATCATCCCTGCCCCCAAACTTTCCAAGGCCAGGCAGGACCTCAGCTACGCATAGCCTGGAGCTGGACAGAGCCCTGCGTAGGAATAGCAGCCAGCCCGGGGCAACCATGGGGGCAGCGGAGCCCCAGCCAACTCAGACCTCTGAGAAGCCACCCTTGCTCCTCGGCTCCACAAATAGAGGCTTCAGGGCCTCCAGCTTCCTGGCGAAGTCCCGGGCCTATGAGAGGAGGTGGTGATGGGACACGTCAGGCTCATGAGACCCGGCAGGCCACCGGCTGCACCCCAGGCACCCTTGGCAATTGGGGGCTCCCCTCTCACCCCCGGGACACAGGGAGGGAACATACCCGCCAGAATTCCAGGCTCTTCTCCAGGACTGGGTAGGAAGGGAAAAAGACTAGGAGCCCATGGGGAACCACTTGGGCAATGTTCACTGCAGTGCAGGGGCCACAGTCAGCGGTAGGGGCTTCCAGGGCCCCCACTGGCTGCCCCCAGGGAGAGAAAGCAGGGAAGGGTGCAGGGCTGGGGAGGGGCGAAACAGGCTCCCCGGACACCACGGAGGGGGTGGGAGCCCAGGATGGGACAGCCCAGCCAGGGCCTCCCTGGAACTCACCTAGCGCCTTCCCCAGGGAGGACAAGCACTCCTCAGAGAACCTGCATGAAGCCAGGAGGCTGCTGCCACTTGGGCCCCAGCACTGCCCCCCCC